TCCCTCAAGAACTGGCTCTGGTCAGCTCAATAGATTTTTTTTTTAAGAAAGACCTGGATTCTTTCCTAGATACACAGAATACAAATGGATACTAATACTAATAGGTAAAGTTGATCCAGGGAATATCCGATTGGGGAATCAGGAAGGAATTGTTTTTCCCTGCAGGAGCAAATTGGATCATGCTTTATTGGGGATCGTTCTTTGCCTTCCTCTGGATCAGCTGTGGTGTATATGGAGGTTTTCTATTTGAGTACGTGTCTTTTTTTCCTCTGTTGATTGAACTGGATGGACTTGTGTCTTTTCAACCCGAGTAACTAGGTAAGTGTAGGGATAACCTAGTACAGGAGGTACCATCCCCTCCATTGAGTCAACAAAGCTCAGGACATGAGGTAAGGCCACAGGTACTCATAAAACCCAGGCAGCTAGTAGCCAATGAGGGTTGGAGGCTGGAGCTGACCAAAGTCATTGTAGATCGTCCTTAGGAATGGGATGGAGATGGGAGCTCCAAGTGGCAACTTGCAAAAGCAGCAGCAGCAGGGAGAGGCTACCAGACTAGTGGGAACAGAGTGCAAAGCGCACACGCACAACACTCCACCCGCCAGTTGATGCCAGTGCTGTCCTTCAGCACTGACTCCCTTCATGGTGAACCAACGGGAGCAGAAATTTCAAAGGTATCCAGTGGTTGTGACGGGTGTGACTTTGGGAGGGGGGCCCATGGAACACAGCTCACTTTGGAGAGGTGGGGAGACCCCTGTCTCAGCTCCCCATACCCCTCTTATGTGCAAGTCACCCTGTGCCTGTTAGGGGTACAGGGTGGAATGTCCTGATATTGTGTAGACATGTATAGGTGGGGTGGGGGGGGGTGGGGGGTTGTTCATTGTTTACTGCCATGTGGCGCATCCCATTGTTCTATTGCGTGTCTTGCTTGGGAGCAAACTATTATGGGATGTAGGTGTTTGTGTATTGGCTTGGTGGGGGGGTGTCTGTCTGCTGATGTGCCTCTGGTTGCTAAATTTGGTTTGCTCCGCCCTGTGTCCATATGCGGGAGGGAGGGGGGGGGGGGGGGGGGTTTGTTCCCTTGAATGTTTATATCTTGTGTCTGTGTTAAAATAAGGCCGTCCATTTCCTGGTTTCCTTCAAGACTGGTGGTGGTGTCTCGTCTTGTATGGCCAGCGGTGGTGGTGTCCATGGTTTGTGTTCGGACAGGGAAATCCCCCAGTGCAGTCGGGGTCCGGTTCCGTTACAGTGGTGCAAATAATGAGTCCGGTTGGCCTAATCACAGAGTGAGTCTCCAGAGAGCGCAAGCTCAGGGGCAAACGGCTCTGGACCTGGAAGACACTCAACAGCTAACTTGCTACCAGAATGGGGTCTAAAAAAAAACGCCAAAAGCAGGACCCGGGGTTTGAAGGTCACTTCTAGTCTGGCCCACAATGTCCAGTCCAGTGTGCTTTGGACACCCCATTCCAAAAGCCCGGCTGACAAAAGACCCATCGGAAGGCTGCAGTGCAGGGACCAGCTCAAGCAGCAATGAGACAAGGAATCTCAACTGAAGAAGAACTTATGGAACATAAAATCGAAGAAAAAAGGCGAACATAAAATTGCTTAAGTTTTTCCCAGCAGACGTGAAGAAAAGATGTCCATCCCCTAAGGACACTAGCAAAAAAAAAAAATTCAGTTAGGAATGAACACAGTGAGACCCGTTACTGTGTTCATTCGCTAAAGGAAGGGTCTGGTAAATGACATATTCATTGACCCCTTTCCCTGCTCTCCATCCTAAAACATCCCCGTGAACCCCCAGCCGAGCCACATATGAGGGATGACAGCACTACTTGTTACCACAACCAGCAGAGTTTTTTTTTTTTTTTTTTTTGGGGGGGGGGGGGGGGGGGGGGGGGGGGGGGGGGGGGGGGGAGGGGGGGGGGGGGGGGGGGGGGGGGGGGGGGGGGGGGGGGGGGGGGGGGGGGGGGGGGGATCATCGGTGCAGCAATTACAGGAACGATCCCGTGTTTCTCCCTGCAGCAGCTGAAAGCCGGGGAGGGAGAAGGACCAGACTTTCAGCTGCTGCGGGGAGACACACGGGCTTGTTCTTGTAGTTGCCCCCCTGCCGTACTGAAACCCCCTTCCCTCTCCTGCCTGCATCCGATTCCCCCTGTTGCCTGGGCCCCCTGTTGCCCCAGGCCCCATACATGACTGGCGGTACCCCATTTTTTGTGACCTTGAGGGTAGGAGGTGTGGGGTGGGAGCTATGTGTTGGACACTGCAGGAGGGGGAGTCTGTAAATGTGATGATCACTGTGGGAGGGGGAAACTGTATGTTCCGTATTACATACAGTTGTGTTGAAAATACTAGCCGTCAGACATCACTAACCGGATCAATCGCTGTTTTTTGGTAGAAATGATATTTCTACATGGCAAATAATTTCCTAGCAGGTGTAGTAGAGTCATAGAAATCCAACAGACCCGACAGTCATGACATGCATGCTGCTGATTCTGTGTCATTGAATCACTCATTGAAAGGGGCGTGTTCACAATAATAGCCGTGTGGAGTTCTATTAGTGAGGTCATTCATTCTTTGGTGGCAATTATTGCCCTTATTTAAGGAAGGAAGGCAGCAAATGTTGGACATGCTGGTTACAGTGCATTTCTCTCTGAAATTCTGAGGAAAATGGGTGGTTTCCAGACATTGTTCAGAAGAACAGCGTACCTTGATTAAAAAGTTGATTGGAGAGGGGAAACATATAAAGAAGTGCAGAAAATGATCGGCTGCTCAGCTAAAATGATGGCAAATGCTTTAAAATGGCAACCAAAACCTGAAAGACGTGGAAGAAAAAGCGAAAAAACTACCATTGGAATGGATAGAAGAATAGCCAAAATGGGGCGGACTCAGCCAACAATCAGCTCCAGGAAGATGAAAGAAGGTGTGACGTTCCCTGTGAGGACTCAGCCAACAATCAGCTCCAGGAAGATGAAAGAAGGTGTGACGTTCCCTGTGAGGACTGTTACAATTAGAAGACGCCGATGTGAAGCCAAGCTATCTGCAAGAAGTCCCCGCAAAGTCCCACTGTTGGGAAAAAGACGTGTGCTGAAGAGGTTACAATCTGCCAAAGAGCACATTGACCGGCCTAAAGAGAAATGGCGCAACATTTTGTGGACTGATGAAAGTAAGATTGTTCTTTTTGGGTCTAGTGGGCGGAGACAGTTTGTCAGACGACCCCCAAACACTGAATTCAGCCACAGGACACTGTGAAGACAGTGAAGCATGGTGGTGCAAGCATCATGATATGGGGATGTTTCTCATACTACGGTGTTGGGCCTATTTATCGCATACCAGGGATCATGGATCAGTTTGAATCCATCAGAATACTTGAAGAGGTCATGCTGCCTTATGCTGAAGAGGAAATGCCCTTGAAATGGGGTGTTCCAACAAGACAACGACCCCAAACACACCAGTAAACGTGCAACATCTTGGTTCCAGACCAAAAGATGGACGTTATGGAGTGGCCAGCCCAATCCCCGGATCTTCATCCAATAGAAAACTTGTGGGGTGACATCAAAAATGCCGTTTCTGAGGCCAAACCAAGAAATCGAGAAGAACTGTGGAATGTGGTCCAATCATCCTGGGCTGGAATACCTGATCACAGGGGCCAGAAGTTGGGGGACTCCATGCAACACAGATGTACAGCAGTTCTCAGAAACAGTGCGACTACAACCAAATATTCATGAAGTCATTCAAAGGAAAGCAAAATCTTCAAACATTTCTCAGTTTATATAGTGAATGTTGGAGTTTGTAAAGAAGAATACAAACACGGCCATTTTTTTGAACCGTCTTTCACTTTTCTTCCATTTTTTTTAGAGGAACAACACAAATTTGATGTATTTTTCTTCATGTTGTGATTTGGAATAGAATGTGTCGTGTTCCCAATGCATTTGTGTGGATGGAAATAAAAGGATTAGAAGGATTTGCAGCTTTACTCACTTTTCTCATCACACGGATATTATTTTGAACACAACTGTATTTTCTACACAAATGTTTCTTTTCCCGAGACGACATCTAATGAACAATCTCTTTATTTCAGGCAGGACAATGGCGTTCTACAATCGGCGACGTGTTATACTTTATTAGTTTGGCACAAGGAATGTACGAGGAGCTGCGGGGTCATCGTCAGCCCAACGAGGAGCGGAGCGAAGATCCAGCCGAAAATAAAGCAAATCAGAAACATGCAAACAAAAGTGCCCGTGTGTATGATGTAAGGCACTAAAGCCCTCCAATCGGCATGCACCATGGTCTGGGGTGGGGGGAGGGGGGCAGCAAGATTTTTACATCCTCCCCCCCATCATTCATCCCCATGTTCTCAATTACCATTTGGCCCATCTGTTCACCAAAGTGCCATCAGAGGACGGGATTCTATCAAATGTTCGTTCAAAATGGCGGCTTCCGGCTAGACGGGTAAGAAAATGTTATTTGCTGATCATCACATAAAAGGGGTTCAATTGTGGAATTATGGGGGTTCATCGGGAATTGTGGCATTATGGGGGTTCATCGGGAATTGTCACTGGAAATTGTCATCCACAGGAGGCGGTAGGGAAGGAAAGCTCCTCCCATCCCGCCATCATTGTGGGAACGAGACAAATGAAGATCGGAGATTGGCACTTAGAGTATGGCGGTCATGTATTGTCAATGGTGGTGTTCGGGGTGGAAGAGGTCCCAGGTGAAGGGTACTCCAGGTGGGGGGTGCGGTGCTCCGGGTGAAGGGGGCGGTGCTCCGGGTGGAGAGCATTCTGGGTACTACAGCCAACGGTTTCATCCCGGAGATGGCGGTGGACTCATCCATGGTGGCTGCCGTACTCATTAGAGGGACATTCAGTGTTCGGAGGGGGAGGTGCACAGCGCAAGTTTTAAAGGCGAAGGCCGCACCTGTGCACATGAATCCCCTCCCGTGTGATGATTGGTCGTCGTCTTCCAGCCAACTGTCTGAGTCTCCCAGACATGGCCGGGCTCCTTCACATCTTGCTGAAGCATTCCTTCGCATTGCCCCAGACCTGGATCCCCTACACACAGGAAAGAAACAGACATTACCTATGCATAATTGTATAGAGAAGCACAGAGACCCAGTGATGACATCACTGGTTCTAAGAGAAGGTATGTAATGAACAGGAAAGGTTTCATTAATATTCATCAGCATGTTGATGAGAGGGGAGGGGGGCCAAGGTTAGCTCCAGTATTATGAGGATCCAGGATCAGGAATCTGCGTTTATAAATGGGGGTCAGCAATGGCAACTTCCAGATCTCTGTCCTCAGATTTCCATTCGGTGACACAATACAGGGTGGCATATATACGGGGGGGGGGGGGGGGGGGAAGGGGGATCCCGGGGGAGATCCCAGCAATGGGCGGAGCTCACCTTCTTACACATGCTGATCTGCATAACCGCATAGTTAATAAGCGCCTCCTTCAGGTCACGATTTTTCTGTTCTTTAAAACGTTCGATTTCCTGCCAGGATTTCTGTACAAAATCACTGAAAACAGAAGGAAAAAAAAAAAAAAAAAAAGGAGCACATGACCAGGAGGAGAAAATCCGAATAATATGCGGAAAAGTCCAAATTCTATTTCACACTGCCCCCACAGAGCTCTCCTCCCCCTCCCCGACACCGCCCCACAACAGAGCCCCACACCGCCCCCCCCCCCACAGAGCTCTTCCCCGACAATGCCCCCACAGAGCACTCCCCCCTTCCCCCCCACAGAGCTCTTCCCCGACCACCCCCTAGCTCCCCCACACCCCCCTCCCCGACCCACAGAGCTCTTCCCCGACAATGCCCCCACAGAGCACTCCCCCCTTCCCCGACACCGCCCCCCCACAGAGCTCCCCCCCCTTCCCCCCGACACCCTTCCACTGCTATGCATCAGCTTGGCCCCACGCCCATAACAGCCCCACAGAGCACTCCCCCCTTCCCCTCCCCGACACCGCCCCCACAGAGCTCTCCCCCCTCCCCCGACACCCGCCCCCACAGAGCTCCTCTCCCCCCTTCCACACTGCTGTGCCCTACTCCTCACATCCCCTGCCGACAAACAATCACACTCACCTACCCGTGCCCCCCATCCCACACTGCTCTTCACCCTCCCAATCCCACCCCACAGCCGTGCCCAAGTGCCCAAACACCTCCTCACCCCCCCCCCCGAACCCCCTACAACACACCCCTGCCTGCCCAAGTCCTCACCCCCCCCCCCTACCACCGCCCATGCCCCCCTCACCACCCCCCCCCCCCCCCCCCACCCCACACTCCCCCCATCTCACCACCCCCCACCCCTACTGCCCCACCCCAATCCTCACCCCCCCCCCAAACACCTCACCACACTGCCGTGCCCCAAATCCTCACACCGGGGTCCCCCCAACTCTGTCCCACAAATCCTCACATCCCCCCCCCATCCCACACTGCCGTGCCCAAATCCTCACCCCCCCCCCCCCCATTCCACACTGCCGTGCCCAATCCTCACCCACCCCCCAACCCACACTGCCACGACCCCCCCCCCCCCCCCCACACTGCCGTGCCCAAGTCCTCACCCCCCCCCTCCCCCCCCCCTAATTCCACACTGCCCATGCCCACATAATCCTCACCACCCCACCCCCCCCCCCCCATTCCACACTGCCGTGCCCCCTCCTCACCACCCCCCATCCCACACTGCCCCCCCCCCCCATTCCCACACTGTGCCCCAATCCTCACACCCCCCCATCCCACACTGCCGTGCCCAAATCCTCACCCCCCCCCCATCCCACACTGCCGTGCCCAAATCCTCACCCCCCCCCCATCCACACACTGCCGTGCCGTGCCCCCAATCCACACCCCCCCCATTCCACTTGCCGTGCCCTACTACTCCTCACCCCCCCCATTCGACACTTCCGTGCCCTACTCCCACACCCCCCCCATTCCACACTGCCGTGCCCCCAATCCTTACCCCCCCCCCCCCCATTCCACACTGCCGTGCCCTACTCTTTACCCCCCATCCCACACTGCCAAGCCTCAATCCATACCTCCTGATCCAATTGCTGCCACCCCCACTGATCACCTGATCATTCACTGCAATCCCCTCCATCTCATGGTGCTCTCCCTGCAGTTTTGCTGATCAGCTTCACATCCTTGTACAAATATATTGGTCCAATGTAGCAGCAGATCAGAGAGGACACCTCCCGGCTCTCCGGACACCTCCAGGGCTCTCCCGGGATACCTCCAGGGCTCTCCGGGACACCCCCCAGGGCTCTCTCCGGGACACCCCCCAGGGCTCTCCGGGGCTCTCTACACCCCAGGGCTCTCCACCCCCAGGGACACCCCCAGGGCTCTCCGGGACACCCCCAGGGCTCTCTCCCCCCAGGGCTCTCTAGGACACCCCCAGGGCTCTCTAAGACACTCCCAGGGCTCTCTAGGACACCCCCAGGGCTCTCTAGGACACCTCCAGGGCTCTCTAGGACACCCCCAGGGCTCTCTAGGACACCCCCAGGGCTCTCTAGGACACCCCCAGGGCTCTCTAGGACACCCCCAGGGCTCTCTAGGACACCCCCAGGGCTCTCTAGGACACCTCCAAGGCTCTCTAGGACACCTCCAGGGGTCTCTAGGACACCTGGACACCTACCGGGCTCTCCAGGACACCTACCAGCTCTCCAGGTTCTGTTCCTTGAGCTGCTCCTCGCCCTCCTCTATCTGCTCCTCCAGCAGTTTTATCTTGGCCTCCCTCTGCTCCGGCGTCTCCTGACCGAACAGCTTGTTGGTGACCCCCTTCAGGGAGAACGTTCGCACTGTCTGCAGGGAAATACACAATTCATTCTCTCTGGGGTATTGCAGGAAATAAAGTGTCAGCTCCTAGATTGGGGGTCTGATACAAGCATGTACACAGTGTGGCTGGATCTCTCCAGGTATGTTCTCAGGTCACACAAGTCCTTTATAGTAGATACAAAGCCAGTCACTAAAACAGAAACTTCCAGCTGACACCAGGGCAGTCAGATATCCTCTGAATCCACCAATCGTGTGTCTGCTTCTGGAATCTCCGTGTCCTTTGTGTATTTCCTGCAGATCTGGGCCGTCATCCAGGGTGAGACTTCCTGGAATAAAGACCGCTCACTGCTGCTCCCCCTCTCCCTGTGCAGGGGGACTGGTCTGGTCTCCACCCCTCCTGTAGCTTTCTGTAGTGGGTGGGGCCTGCTGGGTCCCTCCCACAGCTCTGCTCTCTGTCTTTGTGCAGGGGGAACTGATCTTGCCCCCACCCCCTTCTGTAGTTTCCTGTACTGGGTGGAGCCCACCGGGCCCCTCCCACAGCTCTGCACTCTCTCCTTGTGCAGGGGGACTGGTCTGGACTCCGCCCCCTACTGTAGTCTCCTGTAGTGGGTGGAGCCCAGCAGGCCCCTCCCACAGCTCTGCACACACTCCTCTTGCAGGGGGACTGGTCTGGACTCCCTCCAGTAGTTTTCTGTAGTGGGTGGGGCCTGCTGGGTCCCTCCCACAGCTCTGCTCTCTGTCTTTGTGCAGGGGAAACTGATCTTGCCCCCACCCCCTTCTGTAGTTTCCTGTACTGGGTGGAGCTCACCGGGCCCCTCCCACAGCTCTGCACTCTCTCCTTGTGCAGGTGGACTGGGCTGGTCTCCTCCCCCTCCTGTAGTTTCCTGTAGTGGGTGGAGCCCAGCAGGCCCCTCCCACAGCTCTGCACACACTCCTCTTGCAGGGGGACTGGTCTGGACTCCCTCCGGTAGTTTTCTGTAGTGGGTGGGGCCTGCTGGGTCCCTCCCACAGCTCTGCTCTCCGTCTTTGTGCAAGGGGAACTGATCTTGCCCCCACCCCCTTCTGTAGTATCCTGTAGTGGGTGGAGCCAGACAAGCTCCTCCCACAGCTCTGCACTCTCTCTCCTTGTGCAGGTGGACTGATCTTGCCCCCACCCCCTCCTGTAGTTTCCTGTAGTGGAGCCTGCGGGGCAGCTCCCACAGCACGGTTCGCTCTCCTTGTGCAGGGAGGGGGCTGGTCTTGTCTCCACCCCTCCTCTAGTTTTTTTGTAGTAGAAGAAGACTTCTGGGCTCCTCCCACAGCTCTGCACTCTCATCTTGTGCAAGGTGATTGGTCTTGTCACCTCCCACTCCTGTAGTTTTCTTCATAAAGCCTGTAGTGGGTGGAGCCTGCTGGGTCCCTCCCCCCAGCTCTCCTCTCTCACTTTGTGCAGGGTGACTTTTTTTTCTGCCCCCCTCCTGAATTTTTCTGCAGTAAGTTGAGCCTGCTGGGCCCCTCCCACAGCTCTGCTCCCTACACAGGCCACATACAGCACAATGACAATTTCCTTGCGGCTTTACAAGGCAATATCTGGGGTTGCAAAGGCTTTGGTGGATTTATTTCCTGTATGACCAATATTGAATATATTTAAATGAAAGGTTTTGTGCTCAGAGTTCGGCTAAAAAAAGGTGTTCTAATGGGGGGGGGGGGGGGGGGGGGGGGTTTTCTACGTCAGTCTATGGCACCTCGGGGGCGGGGCTGGGCCAGTCTACGTACCCCGGTGGAGAGCTCCTCACACTGCTGCTTCTTACTGGCCAGGTCCAGGGCGGACATCTCCAGGTCGTACTGCATGAGTTCATGTTTCCGGCACACGGACCTGCAAGCACCACGATAACGTGTACATTAATAGGCTGATACCGCTTACACGCCAAGCACAGATCTCATTGGTCACAAGTTTCCGGTACCTCAGAGCTTCAGCGTAAAATAAATATTCTTTCAGTTGGTCGGCGTAGTGTTCCTGCTCCTCCAGGATGTCATCGATGGAAGCTGCGTATCTGTGGGGGAGGGAACCGCAAAGAGTAAAATGGCTTCAAACATGCGTGGGACAAGCATAGATCTATACTCAGACAAGAATGTTAACAAAAAAAACAACCAAAAACCCCCCAAAAATACCCCCCCCCCCAAAAAAAAACAAAACCAACCCTCCCCCCCCAAAAGAGGGCAGACTCGATGGACCACTCAGTCTTTTTCTGGCATCACTTTTCTGTGTAGATGCATATTATTCCCATTCTCTACATCAGGGAACCCAGTGCACATAGAGCGACAGGCCCCGCCCAAGAGGAGACAGGCCCCGCCCCTGAGGACACTCCCCACCCAGGAGGAAACACTCACTGCTCTTATGTTCACACATCTTGCAGCCTGTGTCTGTTAATTAGGTGGCATTATTGCCCCCCACCATGAACGTTCATCATGAGATTATATCCCTCAGTAAGAACCCCAAATCTCATCTCCGTACCATCGCTACTGGTGGTGGGAGGAGTTTCGCACGTCATTTCTGGTAAGTGTGCCATCAGCTGTCTCTCCCCTAGGTCACATTTCCCATGATTCCCATCAGCTGTGTCTCCCTAGGTCACATTTCCCATGATTCCCATCAGCTGTGTCCCCTAGGTCACATTTCCCATGATTCCCATCAGCTGTGCCCCCCTAGGTCACATTTCCCATGATTCCCATCAGCTGTGTCTCCCTAGGTCACATTTCCCATGATTCCCATCAGCTGTGCCCCCCTAGGTCACATTTCCCATGATTCCCATCAGCTGTGTCTCCCCTAGGTCACATTTCCCATGATTCCCATCAGCTGTGCCCCCCTAGGTCACATTTCCCATGATTCCCATCAGCTGTGTCCCCTAGGTCACATTTCCCATGATTCCCATCAGCTGTGCCCCCCTAGGTCACATTTCCCATGATTCCCATCAGCTGTGTCTCCCCTAGGTCACATTTCCCATGATTCCCATCAGCTGTGTCTCCCCTAGGTCACATTTCCCATGATTCCCATCAGCTGTGCCCCCCTAGGTCACATTTCCCATGATTCCCATCAGCTGTGCTAGGTCACATTTCCCATGATTCCCATAGCTGTCCCCCCTAGGTCACATTTCCCATGATACCCATCAGCTGTGTCTCCCCTAGGTCACATTTCCCATGATTCCCATCAGCTGTGTCCCCCTAGGTCACATTTCCCATGATTCCCATCAGCTGTGTCCCCTAGGTCACATTTCCCATGATTCCCATCAGCTGTGCCCCCCTAGTCACATTTCCCATGATTCCCATCAGCTGTGTCTCCCCTAGGTCACATTTCCCCATGATTCCAATCAGCGGTGTCTCCCCTAGGTCACATTTCCCATGATACCCATCAGCTGTGTCTCCCCTAGGTCACATTTCCCATGATTCCCATCAGCTGTGTCTCCCATAGGTCACATTTCCCCATGATTCCCATCAGCTGTGTCTCCCAATAGGTCACATTTCCCATGATTCCCATCAGCGGTGTCTCCCATAGGTCACATTTCCCATGATTCCAATCAGCGGTGTCTCCCATAGGTCACATTTCCCATGATTCCAATCAGCGGTGTCTCCCCTAGGTCACATTTCCCATGATTCCCATCAGCTGTGTCCCCTAGGTCACATTTCCCATGATTCCCATCAGCTGTGTCCCCCCTAGGTCACATTTCCCATGATTATTATTATACAGTATTTATAAAGCGCCAATAGTTCGCTCAGCGCTGTACATTACAGAGGGGGACAGAACATGTGACAATACCAATACAATGTGAAACACGAGGGGATCGAGGGCCCTGCTCCTCGGAGCTTACAATCTAGGAGGGAGGGGGTGGTGGCACAGGAGGAGATAGCTGTGGGGGATGGAGTGGTGGGAGGATGTGGAGGAGGTCGGCAGGTTAGCAGGGGGTGGGGTAGGCTTCCCTAAGAGATGGGTTTTCAGGGTGCGCCTAAAGGAGAGGAGAGTAGGTGATAATCTGATGGGTTGGGGCAGGGAGTTCAGAGGATGGGTGACACCCTGGAGAAGTCCTGGAGGCGGGCATGGGAGGAGGAGACCAGGCAACTAGAGAGAAGGAGGTCTTGTGAGGAGCAGAGTGTGCGTGTTGGGCGGTACTTGGATATTAGGTCAGAGATGTAGGTTTTGGGGCAGTATGGTGGACGGCTTTGTACGTCAGTGTTAGGATTTTGAAATTTGATAACGTTGCGCAATCGGAAGCCCAGTGGAGGGATTGGCAGAGGGGGGTGGAGGACACTGAGTGGAGGCCAGTGGAGGATTGGCAGAGAGGGGTGGAGGACACTGAGTGGGAGGGCCAGTGGAGGGATTGGCAGAGGGGGGTGGAGGACACTGAGTGGAGGCCCAGTGGAGGGATTGGCAGAGGGGGGTGGGGCTGAGTGGAGGCCAGTGGAGGGAGGCAGAGGGGGGTGGAGGACACCAAGTGGGAGGCCAGTGGAGGAATTGGGTCAAAGGGGTGGCGGAGACAGAGCGGTTGGAAAGGTGAATGAGTCTGGCAGCCGTATTCAGGATGGACTGAAGCGGGGATAGCCTGTGGCGAGGCAGGCCAGTGAGGAGGGAGTTACAGTAGTCGAGTCGTGATATGATGAGGGAGTGGATGAGCTGTTTAGTGGTTTCTGGGGTTAGGAACGTGCGGATTTTGGTGATGTTGCGGAGGTGGAGTCTGCATGTTGCAGAGGCGGAGTCTGCATGTGCGGAGTGGAGTTTGTTAAAGATTGGACTTGGGGCTGGAAGGATAGGTTGGAGTCCAGAATGACACCAAGTACTCTGGCCTGCAGGGCGGGTTTGATGGTAGCGTTGTTGGATGTGACGGAGAAGTCAATGGGGGGTGGTGTCCGGGCTGGGGGGGGAAGACAAGAAACTCCGTCTTGGAGAGGTTCAATTTAAGGAAGTGGAGCGACATCCAGTCTGATATGTCGCTCAGTAGGTGAGTGATTCGGGCTGAGACCGAGGGGGTGAGGTGGGGGTGAGGGGGTAGTGAGAGATAGAGAAAGATTTGTGTGTCATCGGCATAGAGGTGGTAGTTGAAGCCGTGAGAGTGTATGAGTTGGCCAAGGGAGGAGGAGGTGTAGATGGAGAAGAGAAGGGGCCCGAGGACGGAGCCTTGAGGGACCCTAACAGAGAGGGGGAGTGAGGGGAGGTGGTAGCATTATAGGTAGCGAAAGAGCGTTGGACAGGTAGGATGAGAGCCAGGAGAGGGCAGAATCTCTGAGGCCGAGGGAGTGTAGTTTTTTGAGGAGGAGGGGGGTGGTGGACTGTGTCGAAGGCCGCAGAGAGATCAAGGAGTAGGAGCACTGAATGGTGGCCATTAGCTTTGGAGGTTAGCAGGTCGTTGGAGAGTTTGAGTAAGGCGGTTTCGGTGGAGTGTAGGGGACGGAAGCCGGACTGTAGGGGATCGAGGAGGTGGTTGTCGTTGAGGTGAGAGCTTAGGCGGGTGTAGACGAGGCGCTCGAGGAGTTTAGATGTAAATGGGAGCAGGGAGATGGGTCTGAGGTTGTTCGGGTCATTGGGGTCCAGGGAGGGCTTTTTAAGTATGGGGGTGATGTGTGCATGTTTCAGAGGGGAGGGGAAAGTGCCGGAGGAGAGGGAGAGATTGAAGATGTGGGTGAGGGAGCGTAGGATGGAGGGGGAGGAAGGTCGTAGGAGTTGTGAGGGGATAGGGTCGAGGGGGCAGGTGGTGAGGTGGGCATCAGAGAGGATCTTGGAGACTTCCTCCATGGTAGTAAGGTCAAAGGTGCGGAGTGTTGGGGGGAGCTTCAGTATGAGGAATGTAGGGTGGGGTGGAAGAGGAGGTCAGAGCAGTGGTGGGGCCGTGGGAGAGGGGTGTAGAGGGGGTAGCTGAGTGAGGGGGAAGGGGGTTTGGAGGGAGTTTGAGTAGCGACGAAGTCTCTGTGGGTTATGTCGAGGGGGGATGAGGGGGTAGCTGTGTGAGAGGGGACGGGTTGAGAGGGCGTGTGAGTTGCGGCAATGTCCTTGCGAATTGTGTCAATCTTGTTTTTGAAGTGATTGGCAATCTCAAGGGCGGTGAGTGAGGTGCTGGGTGGAGGTGGGGAGCGGTGAGTGAGGTGCTGGGTGGGGGTGGGGGTGGAGAGAGTAGAGAGTTGAAGGTGGAGAAGAGTCGGCGAGGATTGGAGGAGAGGGCCTTGATGAGGGTCAGGAAGTAGACTTGTTTGGCTGCGTGGAGGGAGGAGGTGTAGGTGTGGAAGGCAGATTTGTAGCGGGTGAAGGCTTGTTGGGATTTGGTTTTGCGCCATAGTTGCTCCAGGGCACGACTTTGTCGTTTGAGGGTTTTGGTGTGATCAGTCTGCCAGGGCTGGAGCGGTCGGGGAGTCTGATGTTGCGTGTGGTTAAAGGCGCTAGTGAGTCAAGGGCTGCTGACAGCGCGTTGTTGTAGGCGGTTATAGCCAAGTCGGGGCAGGGACAGGGGGAGGATGCGGTCATGGAGTTGATCAAACTGCGGAGTGGAGGGGGGCAGGGTTAAGGTTGCGGAGGTTACGGCTGGTAGTTGAGTGTGACATTTGGAGGGGGTAGGCGTTGGAGGACGAGGAGATAGAGAAGGTAATCAGGTTGTGGTCAGAGAGAGGGAAGGGGGGTGTTAGTGAGGTTGTGGGGAGCGCAACGCGGTTGGAGAAGACAAGATCAGGGATATTACCGTCGGAGTGGGTGGTGGATTGTATGCACTGTGCAAGTGCAAAGGAGGAGGTTAGGTGGAGGAGACGGGATGTGTCCGGGTTGTCGAGGTTGACAGGGATGTTGAAAATCTCCAAGAATTATGGTGGGTAGCTCAGAGGAGAGGAAGAAGGGTAGCCAGGAGGAGAAGTCATCCAGGAAGCGGGGTATGGATCCAGGAGCCGGTATATCACAGCAATCTTCAGGAGGGTTGGGGAGAATAGTCGGACGCAGTGGGCTCGAAGGAGGAGAAGGATAGGGAGGGGGGGTTTGGGAGGACTCGGAAGGTGCTCTGCGGTGACAGGAGCAGACCAATCCCCACCACCTTTACGACCGTTAGGCCTGGGTGAGTGGGTCCAGGTGAGACCTCCGTAGGAGAGTGCAGCAGGGGAGGTAGAGTCAGTGGGCTGGATCCAGGTTTCCGTGATCGCTAGGAGGTTGAGGGAGCGGGAAACAAAGAGGTCCCATCAGCTGTGTCTCCCCTAGGTCACATTTCCCATGATTCCCATCAGCTGTGTCTCCCCTAGGTCACATTTCCCATGATTCCAATCAGCTGTGTCTCCCCTAGGTCACATTTCCCATGATTCCAATCAGCTGTGTCTCCCCTAGGTCACATTTCCCATGATTTTCCCATCAGCTGTGTCTCCCCTAGGTCACATTTCCCATGATTCCAATTCAGCTGTGCCCCCTAGGTCACATTTCCCATCAGCTGTGTCTCCCCTAGGTCACATTTTCCCATGATTCCAATCAGCTGTCCCCCCCTAGGTCACATTTCCCATCAGCTGTGTCTCCCCTAGGTCACATTTCCCATGATTCCCATCAGCTGTCTCCCCCCTAGGTCACATTTCCCATGATTCCCCTAGGTCACATTTCCCATGATTCCCATCAGCTGTGCCCCCCTAGGTCACATTTCCCTGTCTCCCCTAGGTCACATTTCCCATGATTCCAATCAGCTGTGTCTCCCCTAGGTCACATTTCCCATGATTCCACTTGTCACGTCCGCTCAAAAGCGCCGTGTTTTGGGAATTTGCTTAGATTTACAACTGGGCGTGTCCTATGCAAATTACAGCTAGCCAAGCTTGCAAAAATGAGCAGGTGGCGAGGAATCGACATGTCAGTCAGGAGTGGATGGGGCCCAGGCATCTCCTACATGTTGATCGACAAGAAAGGGCTTGATGAGGAACACCAAGCACAGTTGCAGCTAGGCCTGTGACGTCATGGCGCCCCACGGTCGTCTGATCAGGAAGAGTGCGACACAAAGAACGCAACCACTGACCGCTTTATCACACAGAATACTTTACTTCATAACCAGAGTTCTACTTTAATGTAGTCCATTCCGTACGCATGTCCTGTCAACGCACCACAGCAGAAAAGGAAAAATGTATCACCACAACGCATGGTAGCAAGTTGCTGTGCGTTGCATTTTTAAGGTGCGTTTTGGCGCCATTCAAATGAATAGCGCAGTAACACAATGGTGTGAATGGGCCCCATTGAGGAACACATGTAGGATGGTCACATGTGGCTGCACTACCTAGAATTAGGACGGATTTGATTTCTTCACATACTAGAAACAGATCCGTGAATTCAAGTATCAGGGTCACTGTATGAAGCAGCCAGGCAACCGGCATTTCCAGGAATGGCAGCCTATGTACTTCTTCAAGTAGGTGTTGCTCCCAACTATACAATTCAAAGCACACTCACACATCCATGTGATGTCCGGCGCTCTGCAGTCCATCCCCCATCTCCTTTTTCTATGGCACTCCACTCACTGCGAAAAAAGAAATATTGCTGAATAAAAGCAGAAACTTCTACAAGATAATATACCCAACTAACCCGAGACTCCCATGGTCTGTCCGACTCCCAACAAGGGCTCCCCTCCTCTGCTGCCCTGCTACCCCCCCCCAGGGCTCCCCTCCCCTGTCCCACTCAGCCCAGGGCTCCCCTCCTCTGCTGCCCCCCCCCAAGGGCTCCCCTCCTCTACCCCGCTCCACCCCCCAAAGGTTTCCCTCCCCTGTCCCGCTTCCCCCCGGGGCCTCCCTCCCCTGTCCCGCTCCGCCCCGGGGCCTCCGGTCCCGCTCCGCCCCGGGGCTCCCCTCCCCGGTCCCGCTCCACCCCCCAAAGGCTTCCCTCCTCTGTTCCACTACCTTAGGGTTTCCCCCCTCCCCTGTTCCACTACCTTAGGGTTTCCCCCCTCCCCTGTTCCACTACCTTAGGGTTTCCCCCCTCCCCTGTCCCACTCCGCCCCGGGGCCTCCCTCCCCGGTCCCACTCCGCCCCGGGGCCTCCGGTCCCACTCCGCCCCGGGGCCTCCGGTCCCACTCCGCCCCGGGGCTCCCCTCCCCTGTCCCACTCCACCAAGGGCTCCCCTCCTCTACCCCACTCCACCCCCCAAAGGCTTCCCTCCTCTGTTCCACTACCTTAGGGTTTCCCCCCTCTGTCCCACTTCCCCGGGGCCTCCCTCCCCTGTCCCACTTCCCCCCGGGCCTCCCTCCCCTGTCCCACTTCCCCCCGGGGCCTCCCTCCCCTGTCCCACTTCCCCCCGGGGCCCCCCTCCCCTGTCCCACGCCCCCCCCGGGGCCCCCCCTCCTCTGCCACGCCTCCCCTCCTCTGCCACGCCTCCCCTCCTCTGCCACGCCTCCCCTCCTCTGCCACGCCTCCCCTCCTCTGCCACGCCTCCCCTCCTCTGCCACGCCTCCCCTCCTCTGCCACGCCTCCCCTCCTCTGCCACGCCTCCCCGGGGCTTCCTTCCATTACCCAACTCTGCAGGGCTTATAGATTGAGGATTTGTGAATGTAGAAACACTTTGGGGGGGCTCACCTAAACACTCTGCCGTAATTGCCATGTACTTTATAAACACCATAAAGTCGGTCTGCCACCCTCTGAAAGAAAGCCAAACATTCTATTACATGTAGATCTGAACGGCATCCCTCTCCTCAGTTTTGCACAGCCGCTGTAGAGGAATCCCAGAGCGGTTCTACATCCCGAAGACACTCACCGCCAAGACTCGCAGGAGATGAGAGACGACCGACTGCAGCTCATCACTGTAATGTTTCAGCTCGGTGAATCTCCTGTGATGTGGAGGAACAATCACAACATAGACTGTTAGATTCAATTATTATCTCTGACCTGGAGAACCACAAGACCCCCCCCCCCCCCCCGTCCCACTACCCACAGGGCTTCCCACTCTGCTCGGGGCTTCCCTCCCCTGTCCCACCCCACCTGCTCGGGGCTTCCCTCCCCTGTCCCACTACCCCCAGGACTTCCCTCCTCTGTGCCACTACCCCCAGGGCGTCCCACTCTGCCTGGGGCTTCTCTCCTCTGTCCCACTACCCACAGGGCTTCCCACTCTGCTCAGGGCTTCCCTCCCCTGTCCCACTACCCCCAGGACTTCCCTCCCCTGTCCCACTACCCCCAGGACTTCCCTCCCCTGTCCCACTACCCCCAGGACTTCCCTCCCCTGTCCCACTACCCCCAGGACTTCCCTCCCCTGTCCCACTACCCCCAGGGCGTCCCACTCTGCCTGGGGCTTCTCTCCTCTGTCCCACTACCCACAGGGCTTCCCACTCTGCTCAGGGCTTCCCTCCCCTGTGCCACTACCCACAGGACTTCCCTCCCCTCTGCCACTACCCACAGGACTTCCCTCCCCTCTGCCACTACCCACAGGACTTCCCTCCCCTCTGCCACTACCCACAGGACTTCCCTCCCCTCTGCCACTACCCACAGGACTTCCCTCCCCTCTGCCACTACCCACAGGACTTCCCTCCCCTCTGCCACTACCCACAGGACTTCCCTCCCCTCTGCCACTACCCACAGGACTTCCCTCCCCTCTGCCACTACCCACAGGACTTCCCTCCCCTCTGCCACTACCCACAGGACTTCCCTCCCCTCTGCCACTACCCACAGGACTTCCCTCCTCTGTGCCACTACCCACAGGACTTCCCTCCCCTCTGCCACTACCCACAGGACTTCCCTCCTCTGTGCCACTACCCACAGGACTTCCCTCCTCTGTGCCACTACCCACAGGACTTCCCTCCTCTGTGCCACTACCCACAGGACTTCCCTCCCCTGTGCCACTACCCACAGGACTTCCCTCCCCTGTGCCACTACCCACAGGACTTCCCTCCCCTGTGCCACTACCCACAGGACTTCCCTCCCCTGTGCCACTACCCACAGGACTTCCCTCCCCTGTGCCACTACCCACAGGACTTCCCTCCCCTGTGCCACTACCCACAGGACTTCCCTCCCCTGTGCCACTACCCACAGGACTTCCCTCCCCTGTGCCACTACCCACAGGACTTCCCACTCTGCTCAGGGCTTCCACTGACGGACTGCAGCTCATCACTGTAATGTTTCAGCTCGGTGATATGGAGAAACAATTGCAACATAGAACATTAGATTCATGTTCACAATTATTATCTCTGACCTGGAGAGCCACAAGACAAACTTCCTTTCTACAACTGCTGCACCCAAAATCTGCATATCTTCTGATTGCAGCACAGCCGCAGCCCATAAAAATGGATGAGAAGTGCTGGACCCTAAAAACGACCTATTGGCTTTGCTGTCCAATAGTGTTGCTTCAACCGGGCTTCTAAGAATTGGGCGGCTTCTGCGTACTGAAGGATCTCCACAGTTTCCCCAATTCATAATGTAACTAAAAGGGTCCGGGAATGAAGAGCCAATCATAATGTAACTAAAAGGGTCCGGGAATGAAGAGCCAATCATAATGTAACTAAAAGGGTCCGGGAATGAAGAGCCAATCATAATGTAACTAAAAGGGTCTGGGAATGAAGAGCCAATCATAATGTAACTAAAAGGCTCCGGGAATGAAGAACCAATCATAATGTAACTAAAAGGGTCCGGGAATGAAGAGCCAATCATAATGTAACTAAAAGGGTCCAGGAATGAAGAGCCAATCATAATGTAACTAAAAGGGTCTGGGAATGAAGAGCCAATCATAATGTAACTAAAAGGCTCCGGGAATGAAGAACCAATCATAATGTAACTAAAAGGGTCCGGGAATGAAGAGCCAATCATAATGTAACTAAAAGGGTCCAGGAATGAAGAGCCAATCATAATGTAACTGAAAGGGGTCCAGGAATGAAGAGCCAATCATAATGTAACTAAAAGGGTCCGGGAATGAAGAGCCAATCATAATGTAACTAAAAGGGTCTGGGAATGAAGAGCTAATCAAATGTAACTAAAAGGGTCTGGGAATGAAGAGCCAATCATAATTAACTAAAAGGGTCTGGGAATGAAGAGCCAATCATGGTGTAACTGAAAGGGGTCCGGGAATGAAGAGCCAATCATGGTGTACAAAAAGGGGAACTGCTAACAGAAGCCATAAATCTTAGTGAATGGATATCTCTGCTGACACCAATGGTGGGGCACTATTCCTCCCTCTGGCACCAATGGTGGGGCACTATTCCTCCCTCTGGCACCAATGGTGGGGCACTATTCCTCCCTCTGGCACCAATGGTGGGGCACTATTCCTCCCTCTGGCACCAATGATGGGGTTACTATTCCTCCCAAGAGACTCCAATGATGGGGCCACTATTCCTCTCACCGACACACATGATGGGGCACTATTCCTCTCACTGACACCCAATGATGGGGGCACTATTCCTCCCACTGACACCAATGATGGGGCACTATTCCTCCCACTGACACCAATGATGGGGCACTATTCCTCCCACTGACACCAATGATGGGGCACTATTCCTCCCACTAAACATGACACCAATGATGGGCACTAACTAGTCCCAATCCCAAAGACACCAATGATGGGGCACTATTCCTCCCACTGACACCAATGGTGGGGCACTAATTCCTCCCTCTGGCACCAATGGTGGGGCACTATTCCTCCCTCTGGCACCAATGGTGGGGTACTATTCCTCCCAAAGACTCCAATGATGGGGCACTATTCTCTCACTGACACCAAATGATGGGGCACTATTCCTCTCACTGACACCAATGATGGGGCACTATTCCTCTCACTGACACCAAATGAATGGGCACTATTCCTCCCACTGACACCAATGATGGGGGCACTATTCCTCCCACTGACACCAATGATGGGGCAACTATTCCTCCCACTGACACCAATGATGGGGCACTATTCCTCCCACTGACACCAATGATGGGGCACTATTCCTCCCACTGACACCAATGATGGGGCACTATTCCTCCCACTGACACCAATGATGGGGCACTATTCCTTCAATGACACCAATGATGGGGCACTATTCCTCCCACCTGACACCAATGATGGGGCACTATTCCTCCCACCGACACCAATGATGGGCACTATTCCTCCCACATGACACCAATGATGGGGCACTATTCCTCCCAACCGATACCAATGATGGGCACTATTCCTCCCACTGACACCAATGATGGGGCACTATTCCTCCCCACTGACGTCAATGATGGGGCACTATTCCTCCCTCTGGCACCAATGGTGGGGCACTATTCCTCTCACTGACACCAATGATGGGGCACTAATTCCTCCCACTGACACCAATGATGGGGCACTATTCCTCCCACTGACACCAATGATGGGGCACTATTCCTCCCACTGACACCAATGATGGGGCACTATTCCTCCCACAATGACACCAATGATGGGGCACTATTCCTCTCACTGACACCAATGATGGGGCACTATTCCTCTCACTGACACCAATGATGGGGCACTATTCCTCCCACTGACACACCAATGATGGGGCACTATTCCTCCCACTGACACCAATGATGGGGCACTATTCCTCCCACTGACACCAATGATGGGGTACTATTTCCTCCCAAAGACTCCAATGGTGGGGCACTATTCCTCCCAAAGACTCCAATGGTGGGCACTATTCCTCCCACCGACACAATGATGGGGCACTATTCCTCCCACCGACACCAATGATGGGGCACTATTCCTCCCACCGATACCAATGATGGGGCACTATTCCTCCCACTGACACCAATGATGGGGCACTATTCCTCCCACCGACACCAATGATGGGGCACTATTCCTCCCACCGACACCAAATGATGGGGCACTATTCCTTCCACTGACACCAACGATGGGCCACTATTCCTCCCACTGATGCCAATGATGGGGCACCAATCCCCAAATGACACCAACAATGTGGCACTATTCCTCCCACCCCACAACCAACGATGGGGCACTTATTCTATTCCTCCCACCGACACCAATGATCGGGGGCACTATTTCCTCCCACTGACACCAATGATGGGGCACTATTCCTCCCACCGACACCAATGTTGGGGCGCTATTCTTCCCACTGACACCAATGAATGGGGCACTATTCCTCCCAAAGACACCAATGATGGGGCACTATTCCTCCCAAAGACACCAATGATGGGGCACTATTCCTCCCACTGACACCCAATGATGGGGCACTATTCCTACCACTGACACCAACGATGGGGCACTATTCCTACCACTGACACCAACGATGGGGCACTATTCCTACCACTGACACCAATGATGGGGCACTATTCCTCCCACTGATACCAATGATGGGGCACTATTCCTCCCACTGACACCAATGATGGGGCACTATTCCTCCCACTGACACCCAATGATGGGGCACTATTCCTCCCACTGACACCAATGATGGGGCACTATTCCTCCCACTGACACCAATGATGGGGCACTATTCCTCCCACTGACACCAATGATGGGGCACTATTCCTCCCACTGACACCAATGATGGGGCACTATTCCTCCCACTGATACCAATGATGGGGCACTATTCCTCCCACTGACACCAAAGATGGGGCACTATTCCTCCCACTGACACCAATGATGGGGCACTATTCCTCCCACTGACACCAATTATGGAACATTGTTTACTCCCACTGGCCACAGTCCGGCCCCCTCAGAGTCTGAAGTAAACTGGCCTTCTGTTTAGAACCTTTGGAGACCCCTGTTATAGAGGATGACGTCTGACACCCATCACTCACCTTCATTTGTAATGCGGCATCATTTGCAGCCTCCTTCCAGCCATTCTCCTGGAAAGAAAAGCAGAGAGATAATGTACGCGGACAGACACAAAGACACGGAGGAGAATATCTAGGCCTGCTTCAATATCAGTCACCCCCAGGGAACACGTCTCCTGTGAGGAGCGACGTCCAATCATGGCCCGGCGCTGGCTGTACCTGGGTGAGGAAGGTGGTGAGGACTTTATCTTGGAAGAGGACGGGATGAGCCGCCACACGCAGCAGGAAGTTCTCCAGGCCGATTCTTCTCCTCTCCACAAAGTCAGGATCCATGTTATCAGCGGACAGTTTGTGCCAACACAAATTCTGCCTGTGCCGGGAGAGAGAACAGAATGAATTCTAACAGCCGCACCCCCCAGATTCAGCGTTCACCAGAAAGTTCAATACCACATTTCTGAAGGTTTATAAAAACCTGTGGTAAAGCCTCCCGAACATCGGTTCTCCAGGAACTCATCAGACACATGACCTAACCTATGGCCACACCAACCAACACACAGGCACATTGATCCAACCTACGGCAATAACACCCAACCTAAAGACACGCCCATTCAACCTACAGCCATACCACCCAACATACAGGCACATGACACAACGTAGGCCACATGACCCACGACCACACCAACCAACACACAGGCACATTGATCCAACCTACGGCAATAACCACCAACCTAAAGACACGCCATTCACCTACAAGCCATACCACCCATACAGGCACATGACCAACAACCACATGACCCAACACCACACCAACCAACACACAGGCACATTGATCCAACCTACGGCAATAACACCCAACCTAAAGACACGCCATTCAACCTACGGCCATACCACCCAACATACAGGCACATGACACAACGTACGGCCACATGACCCAACCTACGACCACACCAACCAACACACAGGCACATTGATCCAACTTACGGCCATAACACCCAACCTAAAGACACGCCATTCAACCTACGGCCATACCACCCAACATACAGGCACATGACACAACCAACACACAGGCCACATGACCCAACCTACGGCACCACACCAACCAACACACAGGCACATTGATCCAACTTACGACCATAACACCCAACCTAAAGAAGACACGCCATTCAACCTACGGCCATAACCACCCAACATAACCTACAGGCCAATGACACAACATGGCCACATGACCCAACCTACGACCACACCAACCAACACACAGGCACATTGATCCAACTTACAGCCATAACACCCAACCTAAAGACACGCCATTCAACCTACGGCCATACACCCAACATACAGGCACATGACACAACGTAGGCCACCACCCAACCTACGACCACACCAAACCAACACACAGGCACATTGATCCAAAGAACGCCACAACCAATCGGCCATAACACCCAACCTAAAGACACGCCATTCAACCTACGGCCATACCACCCAACATACAGGCACATGACACAACGTAGGCCACATGACCCAACCTACGACCACACCACCAACCAACACACAGGCACATTGATCCAACCTACGACTCCAACAACACAATCTGAATCCATAACACCCAACCTAAAGACACGCCATTCAACCTACGGCCATACCACCCAAGATACAGGCACATGACACAAACGTACGGCCACATGACCCAACCTACGACCACACCAACCAACACACAGGCACATTTATCCAACCTACGACTCAACAACACAATCTGAATCCATACCACCCAACCTAAAAGACACACCATTCAACCTACGGCCACATGACCCAACCTACGGCCACATGACCCAACCTACGGCCACATGACCCAACCTACGGCCACATGACCCAACATGACCCAACCTACGGCCACATGACCCAACCTACGGCCACATGACCAACCTACCAACACACAGGCAGATTTATCCAACCTACGGCCACATTCACCCAGTCTACGAATCAACAATTCAACCTACAGCCATAACACCCAACCTAAAGACACACCATTCAACCTACGTCCATACCACTCAACTTACAGGCAGATGACACAACCTACGGCCACACGACCCAACCTACAGCCACACCAACAAACACACAGGCACATTTATCCAACAAAACAGATGTACCACCCAATCTACGGCCACATGACACAACCTACGGCCATACCACCCAACCTACGGCCATACCACGCAACCTACGGCCATACCACGCAACCTACAGCTACATACCCACGCAACCTACAGCCACACGACCCAACCTAAGGGCACATCCACCCAACCTACAAGTCCACAACACAACCTACAGCTACATCCACCCAACCTACGGGCACATCCACCCAACCTACGGGCACATCCACCCAACCTACGGGCACATCCACCCAACCTACCACACAACCTACAGCCATACCACCCACTTCTAAACCTACGGCCACATGACATAACCTACAGCCACTTCTACCCAACCTACGGCCACTTCTACCCAACCTACGGCCACACCACTCAACCTAAAGACGCACCACTCAACCTACAACCAAATCCACCCAACCTAAAGACACACCACTCAATTTACAGCCACACCACCCAACCTACAGGCACATCCACCCAATCTACGACTCCACAACACAACCTACAGCCACACCACCCAACCTACGGGCACATCCACCCAACCTACAACTCCACAACACAACCTACAGCCATACCACCCAACCTACATGCACATTTACAAAATCTACGGCCTCATCTACCCAAACTACGGTCACATCCACCCAACCTACGGCCACATTTACCCAACTTACACATGCACCACCCAATCTACAACTCCACAACACAACTTACAGCCATATGACCCAACCTAAAGACGCACCACTCAACGTACAGACGCACCATCCAGCTTATGGGCACATTCACTCAATCTATGACCACATCCACCCAACCTACAGCCACATACCCTTTTCTCCGGCAGAGGAGGGACCACCACAAAGGGGTAAGTGACGCACAGGTAATTCCTCAGCAGTTCAAACTCGCTGTACCGCCTCCAGAGAGACTCCAGTGAATTCTGCCCATCGGAGGGGTTCTCCAAAGACCTGAAACAAATGTTCTGGATTATAAAACAGCCAGACTCCAGAGCCGCGGTGTGAATGTGGTACTAGAGCCAACACCGAAGAGTAAACGACTTTATTCATTTTAACAAAATAATTTCTAAAATATCCAATCGACTGCCTCAGCGTTGTGTGTGAACATCTAAAGGAAGAGGGAGGTAAGAGCAGAACAAAGCAACACACTCACTTTATTACCCCCCCCCCCCCCCCAGCAGCACATACTGACCTTTCCTTTACTCCCCCCACTGCACCCTTCAGCCCCGAGCCCCCCAAGGCGCCTCGTGTAATCTCCATATTGCTTCAGTCGGGGATTATTGAGGGTTGGGAGCCATCTCCCTGCTCAATGACAGTCATCACGCCCTTATAGAACAGGAAGGGGAGTGGCTTATGCTCCTGTGGGGAGGTAATTTCCTCACTCATGGAAGTGGGGGGAGTAAAAGAAAGGTCAATATTTGCAGGTGGAGAGGGGGGGGTAATAAAGAGAACCTGTTTTACCACAGCAAACGTGTCTCCGAGGAAGCGTAGGACACACTAAACAAGTTCCGCTCTTTGGATGTACTACGTGCGTCCAGTGAGTGAACGGTGCATCACAGCTGTGCAGGAAATCAATACGCTGTGACGTCACGCCGCCGGAGCCACATGTTGGTCCGGCGGCCATCTTAACTAATGGTCAGTGTACTTGCTTTATATCTCTATATTGACATTTGTGGATTCAAATACATTTTTTTTGGAAATACTACACTATGGGCACCTTTCTTATGGCTTCTTTATGGAGCCTTTCAGCCTGCAGAACCTGCGGAGAGCACCAGTCTGACCCATTATCCAGAGGAAGGGAATCCCTGTAAAACAGCTGGCCGATCCTATCCATCCTAAAGGGGACCTCTGGAGCTAAGCAGACAATCCTTTGACGGCAGTGTTGCCCATTCCTACACGGATGTTCCACATACACCTACCATACATCACTACCTAAGTGCCCTGAGGTGGATATATTAACGCGCATATTCTATGCGCATCTGGTGAGTGCGCAATCCTACCATTTCTTCAAAGCACCATAATATTAATATTGGCTCTGTCACGGTATAGGGGCGTGGCCAATTATTAATTCCTGATTAATGATCCGGAGTGTCACGACGTCTCCGCCAGCCCAGTTATTAATTCTCAGTTATTAATTCCTTGTCCTTTAATCCCTCCTGGCCATAGGAAGAGCATCCTACAATAAGTATTATACTCCTGTAATCAACGCGCCCCCCTCCACAAAAGGTCCCAAATTCAATTAGTGTATCCTCCCCATTGTTATCCTGTTTACTTGTCCATCCTGTCTTGTGCCCAGATGTCCTACATCCCTAATTAGTGCCTTACTTTTGTATTAATGTATCCTCCCCACTGTCCTCCTGCTTACAGCTACAAATTCAATTACTGTATTTCCGTTCCATTGTCATCCAAAATGTCCCTAAACTCAATTAAGGCAGTCCCTCCATTGTCATCCTGCTAATGACCCCCCTCCACCTCTCGTCCTGCTCAGGGGGTTTAAGAGGTCAGTGCTGGTCTCTCCTGTTGTTCCATTCTGCTGTGCAGCAACTGAAGGGGATCCCAGCTGCAGCGGGACTCTAGTGGCTAGACTCTGCCTAAGCCCCATTGGAGTAAAGGGGACCCCAGAATCAGCCCTGCCTGAAACGCTGTCAGCTGTGCCTGAGACTACCGCACCGCACCCCGCCCTGCCTGAGACCACCGCACCCGCCCTGCCTGAGACCACCGCACCCGCCCTGCCTGAGACCACCGCACCCGCCCTGCCTGAGACCACCGCACCCGCCCTGCCTGAGACCACCGCACCCGCCCTGCCTGAGACCACCGCACCCCGCCCTGCCTGAGACCACCGCACCAGCCCTGCCTGAGACCACCGCACCAGCCCAGCCCTGCCTGAGACCACCACCGCACCAGCCCTGCCTGAGACCACCACACACCAGCCCTGCCTGAGACCACCACACCAGCCCTGCCTGAGACCACCACACCAGCCCTGCCTGAGACCACCGCACCAGCCCTGCCTGAGACCACCGCACCCGCCCTGCCTGAGACCACCGCACCCGCCCTGCCTGAGACCACCCGCACCCGCCCTGCCTGAGACCACCGCACCCGCCCTGCCTGAGACCACCGCACCAGCCCTGCCTGAGACCACCGCACCAGCCCTGCCTGAGACCACCACACCAGCCCTGCCTGAGACCACCACACCAGCCCCTGCCTGAGACTACCACACCAGCCCTGCCTGAGACCACCACACCAGCCCTGCCTGAGACCACCACACCAGCCCTGCCTGAGACCACCACATCCGCCCTGCCTGAGACCACCACATCAGCCCTGCCTGAGACCACCACATCAGCCCTGCCTGAAATCACCACATCAGCCCTGCCTGAGACCACCACATCAGCCCTGCCCAAGACCACCACATCCGCTCTGCCTGAGTGCATGCTTCCCCCATGTTGTCTGACTACTTATGAACTGCCTCCTACCTCCCTGTTGGACTACAAACTGCTGTAGGGACTTTAGCTTTGCCCCCCGGGCTGGATTACAAGTCTGTTGGACTCTCCCTGCACTACTCCCCATTGAGTGACTTTGTCAGTTTTAATAAAGCTTTGTGTGTTTGCCGTCTGCCTTGTGTTTCTGTGCTGCTTACCCTCCGTCACGGCTCACTTCTGGATTTATCATGTTTATAGACGGATCCACATCTGGATTCTGCGGTGATTATTTATCCTAGCGCTGCACTTTATTATTTATTGTACGTTTGGAGGTTTCATTTTGGTGTATCAGCTGCTATATGGGAGCGCGCTCACTTTCATCATTTTATTAGTGCGCAGCGCAGACCTGGGGCGACTTATTACTGTACGGGATCTATATGGCGCCAACAGTGTACGCAGCGCAGACCTAGGACGACTTATTACTGTACGGGATCTCTCTATGGCGCCAACAGTGTACGCAGCGCAGACCTGGGGCGACTTATTACTGTACGGGATTTATATGGCGCCAACAGTGTGCGCAGCGCAGACCTAGGACGACTTATTACTGTACGGGATCTCTATGGCGCCAACAGTGTGCGCAGCGCAGACCTGGGGCGACTTATTACTGTACGGGATCTCTATGGCGCCAACAGTGTACGCAGCGCAGACCTGGGGCGACTTATTACTGTACGGGATCTATATGGCGCCAACAGTGTGCGCAGCGCAGACCTAGGACGACGATTATTACTGTACGGGATCTCTATGGCGCACACAGTGTACGCAGCGCAGACCTAGGACGACTTATTACTGTACGGGATCTCTATGGCGCCAACAGTGTACGCAGCGCAGACCTAGGACGACTTATTACTGTACGGGATCTATATGGCGCCAACAGTGTGCGCAGCGCAGACCTGGGGCGACTTATTACTGTACGGGATCTCTATGGCGCCAACAGTGTGCGCAGCGCAGACCTAGGACGACTTATTACTGTACGGGATCTCTATGGCGCACACAGTGTACGCAGCGCAGACCTAGGACGACTTATTACTGTACGGGATCTCTATGGCGCCAACAGTGTACGCAGCGCAGACCTAGGACGACTTATTACTGTACGGGATCTATATGGCGCCAACAGTGTGCGCAGCGCAGACCTAGGACGACTTATTACTGTACGGGGATCTCTATGGCGCCAACAGTGTACGCAGCGCAGTACAACGCGGGGGAGGGCGGTACATCTACAATATAACTGAATACAGGAGGATTCACAATATGGAATCAGAGAGCGCGCAGGACGCCGCACATCGGCGACATTCCCAGCCTTGACCCCCCCATCCCCCTCCTCACCTGGTCTCTATCAGATACGCCGTGTAGGTTTCCTGCATGTTCACCGCGTTCTTCCCCGTGCGCTTCTCCGCCTCCGACACGCCGATCTCCATCTTCTTCAGCAGACATTCCTCCTCCACCATCTGCACGAGGAACACAAGAATTACAGGGCGGACCCAGCATCTTATGGGCACCTCAGATTAGATTCAGGTCAGATGATTCGTCGGCTGGGGGGGGGGGAGTCAGGCCATTAAAGTGGTTGCAAAGGCTGAAGGTAAAAAACCTTTTTCAGCATCCCCCCCCCCCCAATACTCACCTAAGCCCCCTCCCGATCCAGCGATGTGCACTGGAGTCTCGGCTGTCCCGGGCTCCCACTCCTCATTGGACATTGGCTCCCACAGCTGTCAATCATAGCCAGTGAGCCAATGAGGAGAGAGGGGGCGGGGCCAAGCAGCGGCTTGGAAATGTGCCTACTTGGGTGCCCTCATAGCAAGCTGCTTGCTGTGGGGCACCCGACAAGAGGGAGGGACCAGGAGCACCGGCGGGAGGACCCGAGAAGAGGACAATCCGGGTGCAAAACCACTACTACACAGACGTATATATTTATTTTTTGTTAGGGTCTTTTTTATTATAATTATTATTAATAATAATTCTTTTTTATAGGGTTGTCTTTTTTGTTTGGGTGTTTTTTTTTTATTATTTTTCTTTTTTTTATAGGGTTATTGTCTTATTTTTTTGTTTGGGTGTTTTTTTATTTATTTATTTTATAGGGCTAGGGTTGTCTTCTTATTTATTTTTTTGTTTGGGTGTTCATGTATATTATTATTTTACGTATTTTTGTTACAGTGTTTATGATTATTATTGATTTTTTTTTTCTTATAGTATGAGGGGGTTGAGGATAGGAGTTATTTATTATTGCATATTATTTGTTTAATGATTTCTTTTATTTGTGTATTTTATTTAACAACAATTTATTAATTTATTATTGTTTTTGTTGGTTTTTATTTTTTGGTAAATTAAGCCTTTAGCATCACTTTAAGCCCCACTTACACCTGAGCGATTTCTAGCTTGAAGAAAAAAAAACAAAACAAAAAAAAAAAAAAAATCATATATTCTCAAGGGAGCCTGAAGCTCAAAACAAGCTCTCAAAATCGAGCAGGTTTTGCATGTTTTTGAGCGATTTTTAATTCTATAAAAATGAACGGAAATGCACAATTCACACGTCTTCGGAACCTTTTTCTGCTCAAAAAAAAAAAAAAATCAATCAACAAAATGAATAAATGGTTGTTAAATAAATATACACAAAGAAATCATTAAACAAATAATATGCAATAATAAATAATCCCTATCCTCAACCCCCCTCACACTATAAAACAAACAAAACAAAACCCACAATAATAATCATAATAAACACTAACAAAAATACATAAAATAATATAAATTAACATCCCAAAAAATAAAAAAAATAAGGAGACAATAATAATAATAACTAGAAAATCTACAATTTCTGGGGAAATTGTGTGTGAAGTGTTCTTGCCGGCAACCCTAACCAAGCGATTGATGAAATGTAAGCAGTGCACATTGCAAGCCTGATAGTGAGAAATGCATTTCAGCTTGTATTTTGCAGCTCACAGTCCAGCCTGGTGACTCATCTGACTCTTGAGTGACCTTTGGTTGCTATAGCAACTCACTCAGTCAGGCATGTGAGAAGTGCTGTTCTAAACACACTGCTGCAACTTGCCAACTTCACTGGCGATTGCCATCTTCAAACGCTTGTAGTTTTTAAAAGTGTATATGCTACTGCGAAGAGCTTTATATTGTGAGAATCACAAGAAACAGACCTACATTTTGATGCATAGTATGTCTCTGAAATATTAAAAATGAAGGCACAGTCGCAGTTTAAAAAAAAAATGTCCCTTCAAATTTCAGGTGGCTAGAGTGGAGTTTCAATGAATGTCAATGGGAGGGGTGAGGTGCAAACAAATGGTCATATTCTGAAAACTATCAGGACTATGGCTTATCTGTGAACATTTTTAGTGACAGCAGGGTTAGCTGAACGTTTTGATATAAGATATGTGTAGGTGGGCATGAAAATGACAGAGTGATGGCAGTTTACAAATCATGTTCTGATTTTTCCTTCCACACTCTAGCTTTGTCAGCTCCCACTCTAGTTGCTCCATTCATTCCTATGGGAAAATTTCACCACAAAAACCGCGATATTTCGTGAACGATTCGGCGAAACGTTCCACAAAGTAATAGCAATCCGATCGGGAACAATCCGCACGTTTCGGTATATTACTTGTCTATGTCGTGTAAAAACTGTGGGAGGAGTTAGGGGGGTAAAATTGGCTATAATAAGAATATATTTTGTGAGATAACAATCAGTGTTTCTGTAAGAAGACTTAATAATGAGTTCTTTGTTACAGCAGAATCCCCCCCCCCCCCGATCTTTCTAGGTAAGAAAACTGTCATTTTACGGGCAGTTGCCGTGGTCCTGCTCCCATGTCCAGCTATGGCATGAAAAGTCAGTTGAGAGCTCTCATAGGCACACTGGTGACAGTTATGATTTGAATGTTACTGGCTGAACCTGCTCATTTGCATATCGTTGCAAAGGATTCTGGGAAATGGGTTTTGCCACCTCAGGGTTGATTAAATCTGAATTATTTGTGTTTTTTGATGGTTTATAGAGGCAGAAAAAGATTTGGAAGTGAACATAAAAGCCAAAAGAAAGATTTTAAAGTTAAATTCAAATTTGACTCTCCATAGGTTGATGTTTTGGTAGTTTGGGCGGTTTATAAAGACACGAAGCGTACTGAGTAGATGGAGAGGTTGGGGAAAGCTCAATGGACACCAATTGAAGGATCTCTCTAGGGCCGTTTCAGTGACACCGAGGTGAGGATTCCTCTGGGGCAGTTCATTGATACTGATGTGAGGATCTCTCTGAGGGAAATTCAGTGATTACTGACAGGAGTGATGCCAATGGGAGGATCTCCTTGGGGAGTTCAGTGATACTGACAATGAGGATCTCTCTGGGGAAGTTCAATGATACTGATGTGAGGATTCTCACTAAGTGACACTGAAGGGCAATACAAACTTCTCTGAGCCTAGGCCCCGTTCCAGAACACTTGGAAGTTGAGCGTTGTTCCCTGCCTCTCTTTTTTAGGTGTTCCTGCATGGCAGACCCCCCCCTGTCATCTCACATGTAGATTCGTATTATTATAGACAAATTTACCCCCCTAACTCCTCCCACAGTTTTTACACTCCATAGACAGTAATATACGGAAACGTGCGGATTGTTCCCGATGGTGGTGTGCTATCACTTTGTGGAACGTTTCCCTGAATGGTTCACGAAATATCAAATTCTTATATCAAAACGTTCAGCTAACCCGGCTGCCACTAAAAATGTCCATGGCTAAGCCACAGTCCTGATAGTTTTCACAATATGACCATTTGTTTGCAACTCACCCCTCCTATTGACTTCATTGAAACTCCACTCTAGCCACCTGACATTTGAAGGACATTTTTTAAACTGTGACTGTGCCTTCATTTTTAATATTTATATATACTTTTTAAAACTACAAGCGTTTGAAGATGGCAATCGCCAGTGAAGTTGGCAAGTTGCGCAGCAGTGTGTTTAGAACAGACCTTTCACATTCCTGACTGAGTGAGTTGCTATATGCAACCAAAGGTCACTCAAGAGGTCAGATGAGTCACCAGGCTGGACTGTGAGCTTCAAAATACAAGCTGAAATGCATTTCTCACTATCAGGCTGGCCATGTGCACTGCTTACATTTCATCAATCATTTGGTTAGGGTTGGATGCAAGAACACTTTACACAATTTCCCCCAGAAATTGTAGATTTTCTAGTTATTATTATATTGTCTCCTGACATTTGTTTGCAACTCACCCCTCCCATTGACATTCATTGAAACTCCACTCTAGGACACACCTCAATTTTAAGGGACACTTTTAAACTGCGACTGTGCTTCATTTTTAATATTTCAGAGACATACTATATATCAAAATGTCTTGTGAGTCTCATTTATACTTTTAACCCCTTCCGACGGCCGTTGCAAAAAAAAATTAAATAAACGGAAAACCGGCCGGACGATGGCACTGCAGGGTCAGGTGGGCTGTTTATAATAACGGCCCTATCCCCGCACCCTGCTATGTGCGCGCTCCTGGGGGAGAGCGCGCGCAGAAGCTACCGCGATCCCGGTTGCCCGCTGTGTCCTCCGGACACACTGTGAAACACGATCGATTAGCCGGACGGGACCTCTTGTTATGAGGTCCCGTCACTCCGATTCTTGTGATCACTGATTTGGCCAGTCAGTGATCACATATGCAAAGTAGTATGCAAGATGTCACTTGGTGGACATCATTGACATTACTACGTGTGTGAAATCTGTGAGATGATCACAGAGGTCACATGGTACAGGGCTATTTCACAAAAGGCCGTGTACCAATGTGACAAGCTGTGACTAATCTCAGTCACACAGTATTTACTTCAATAGGCTGCAAGAATGCAGGACAGAGAGAACGAGAAATTGATTTCCTCTTATCAAGCCTTTATGGGGAGCAAAAGCAATCAGTGTATAATAAAAAATCTTCATCACCCCACAGGAAGATGTAGTACAGGTTGTCACATGGTGACCCCACCACTGATAGGGGTGACAACAGTATGTTAAAAAATAAAAAATAAATAAAAATATAAAAAAAAAAAAGTTTTAAAAAATGATAATTTTTGGTTATAAACTAATTTGGATTTTTTTTTTACTAAAAAAGATAAAAGACTGAATAAATTTTGGCCAAGATTTATGATTGTAATATTATTTATTTTTGCAAAAATTTATATAAAAAAAAACACTTTTTTTTTAAAATTTTTGGACAGTTTCATTGCCATAGCAAAAAAAAATACAAATCCCAGCATGTGAATATAAAATACAACCAAAATAAAGCTTTATCGGTATCTCAAAAAAAATTGGTTTTAAAAAAATTCATTTGGGTGCAGTGTTTGCAATGGACCGACGCGCACAAATTGTCATAAGTGTGGATAGCGCTGAAAGCTGAAAATTGCCATGCGACAGGAAGGGGGGGGATAGTGTCCGGTCTGGAAGGGTGGGGGAAGAAAGTGTCCGGTCTGGAAG